GCCTGCGGATCTTCCGCTGGCCGGGCTGGCAGCTGGAGCCGGCCCAAGCGCAAGTCGCCATCGTTTCCAAGATACAGTAGCTCGCGTTCGCTTTTCCTAAACAAAGACTCTTATAACAGAGCCGCTGCTGGAAATTTCCATCCCTTTGTTGGGGAGATGCTGTATAAATAAATGCATTCCTAGGATTTTTGTAGCCCTAGGAAGGTCCATGAAGGAAACGGTACCGTTTGGCAAATCGCTTGGCTGCATGTACATTATTCCTAGGCTCCTGAGAACATGGTGCGTGATGCACAGATTATAATACAAGAAACATATGCTGAGGGCCTGCCAGGAACTCGGCACATCCTATACGGTGTGTACAGATATTTCTTCTCTTTTGCCCTCTGGAATCGAAAATATTCAACTGATCTTAGAGCTGGGATTTGTGAATGAATTAGCTTAACTCTTAATAATCCTTACCTGACCCTTGACTTTCAAGGCAGTGTTTAGCTCCCTGCTCCCCGATTTGATGTACAGGTTCTTGTAAAGCATTTGCAAATTAGTATGTGATATAAATGTGGAATTAACCTTTTACTTTGCCCTGCTGCTTTCCCTTCTCCCTGAATATTATTTTAAAAACTGACAATCTCTGAAGATCCTATTAAAATAATGATATTGTATGTGATGTATTTACAAGTTGGACGCTCAATACTTTAGTTTCCTGTCCTATGTAAACCCTTACACCATATAAAAGGTATTACAGTTATGTATCCAATGCATTGATAATGAAACAGAGCAGTATGTTTCATACAACATTAACTTACATTGTAAAGAGTATTGTGCTTTTATTAATAAAAGTGTGTTTTTTTTTTCTTGCAACAAGCTAGTAGCTTCTCCCACTAACTCTACCCCTTTAACTCTGCCCCCGGACTCAGATGATCTAGATTTATAAGATCACTTCTCTATTTAATGCATTGCAAATACCTAAGATATTTACAGCAAAAGCTGTTTTAGACTACCAAAATAATGTTTATTACCCTTCTTTTTCATTTTTGAGCACACCATGACATTTACTTTATGTTTAGATCTTCCCAGCAGTTACCCCTGCTTTCTTTATGCTAAATTTAATTTTGAGAAGCACATCATCTAGTAATGCAATTTTACTGGAAAAATGTCAAAATTACACAAAACCAATAGCTTTTAACATTTTTCATTTTTACATCTCAGTGTTTTAGACAGAGCATTTAGCTTTCGTAAGTAATTTTATAATATATTTAAGTTTTTTAAAAAGATTTGTTTATTAATTGTTCACAAATGCAAAAGGACCATTCATTTTCTAGGAATGATATTTTTCAGTTAGGTTTCAGATATAAAATAAAACATACCCCAAACAAGACTATCTCCATAATGTAAACCCAAATAATTTAGGCTAGAAAAATCTCAGATTTGCTTCTGTGTGAACACTGACACAGGATCTAAGTTGTAATTTTTAGTCATTTCAGTACTCGGGTTCAAGATCTACTATGTGAAAGCATTTTATTTTTCAAGATGAAGTAGACGGATTCCACTTTCTCTCAAAGAGAGATTATTATAATAAATGTATCTCTTAATCTGTAATAAATTACAGCATCTTAATACTGAATTTTATTATAAGATATTGTTGACTAAGGGAATCAAACTTTTAAGTCAGTTAACAACAATCTACAATCCCAAAGACACGGGAGCGGTAACTTACCTACTGTATAAACAGCCACACAAATCCCCCAAATTTATTTTTTTCCGGGCTTTCAACTTTGATTAATAACTTAGCGAAAACATGCAAGTCTTGTCCATGTTAATCACAGCTAGATTTTTGGTGATACAGACTTGAGCATTTTAATATAATTAAAAGAAAAGGAAAGCAGAAGACATGGTTCATTAGGACACAAGGATTTATAAAAACTGTGGTATTTCTCTAGAGGGGAAAGTTACTACTCACATTTTAGCCTGTCCCTAGGACACAGAGCAGGAGGCTCCCTCAGTGAGATGTGTTTGCTTTGGAAAAAAGCTAAATAATCAGCCTGCCCGAGCTCTTCTTACCGACACACTTACAGTACCAAAACACAAGCTCAGGAAATCTGCGGGAAACACACCACCGAAAACTGCTTTTCCGATTTTGTTACGAAGCCTTACAACTCTGAAGTAACACAAGATCCAAAAGACCACAGATTAACCTGCCAACACTGTTCTTTTTGATAAACTGCTGTATGCAAAAATATATGAGGTGTGCAACCTGGTGGGTTAAGGGAAATACCCCAAGCCACAAACATCCAGCAAATCTGTATTTGTGAATAACTACAGAAGCTTAGAACCTAATTAAAAAGCTCTTATTACAAGAAAGAAAAATCATAAAGGGCTGATACCAGAAAAAATCTAGCACCATGCTGATAAAATAGGAGTGTCAAAACAAATCCAAAGAATAATGCCCGCCTAATACGGAATTCTTAAATATTAAAGCTGTGTTTAATACAGTATTTAATACAGCTTTCAGGTTTTTGTGATACTAGTACCATAGTTAAATTTAGTCCCTTCCCCTCATCAGTAGTTTAAACAACAGGAGTGTTTCTTAAATAAGATTTCTGAGATTAAATTCAGATGAATTGATAGGCAAGTGATAAACATAAACAGTATTTGGCAGGGTCTGACATTGGACTTCTTTTCATTCTGCATCTACCTACCTACATGTTTGCACTAACACCAGGCTTACAATGATGCCTTTTGTAAGAAATCCAAGCTTTTTAAGTCGGGATAATATACAAAGCAGTTGCACATTTTCTCTCTAAATCACTTTCATGAAGACACCTATGCCTAAAGATCAAGGGGCAATGGAACAAAAAGATGCAGAAATATAACATAATACTGGTGACCTGAAATAACTGCTCGGGATGGCACCTAAATATCATTGTAACGGACATAATAGAAACACCTAAATAGCGTAGACAGGATATGGCCGCCTAGAACAGAAAAGGGCAGACTAAATACTTTGCAACACTTTTATCCTGAGATGAAAGCACAATTTCTGCTTTGACCTTTTTTAGAATTTATAATATAAAACATCTGTGGTATTAGAAGTGCAGGAAAACCGGGAAGCACAGATTCTAGTGTGTTACTACCTATCGGAAAGCGAAGAAATGCACAGAAGACCTTTGTATAGTACCGGAGAAAGTGAAAATCTAGGCACCGTCTTATATACCAAACTTCATTACAGACTATGCTTTTTTTTCCCCTACTTGAATTCTTCACAAACACACTTAAGCTGTTTCTGTTTATCTGCTCTAGCCATTCTGACATCGGGACTTTGCTTTTTAACTATCTTGGGTTTGGCTGTAACTAAGATAAACATATTTAGCTGCAACTTTTTTTTTCTTTCAAAAAGAGGCAAACTGGATTACAGCAAATAACCTTTAAGATAATTAACTGACAATGCTGCAACTAGCATAAAATCTTCCTTCAGGCGACCCCTAATTTAAGTATTACTGGCACAAAGTAGAGACAGATTGTGCATCACCACCGCAATATTTACATAGCAGAAACCCACAGAGCAGGAAACGTGAGACTCAATGATGCACTAAATTAGGAACAATCATATTCTAGTGTTAATTTGCTTTCTGCTCTATCCAAATTTCAGGTCCAGCAATCGGTACAAATGCACATAAAACATTCCCATTTTTAATGATTAAGAGCCTGCAAACAGTTTTGCTCAAAAGTGAGTTTGCTCTCTAGCAGGGATGTTTCCAGGAACAAACCCTGAAAGAGAAGCATTTTACCAATATAGAAATTTTCTGAAAACCACGGATTTCTAATCCTCTGTTTATCTCTTCCCATAAATGATGCCTGCACGAGCAGTTTGAGTCTTCTCCCAGGATACCTGCCTTTTGATTGCAAATATTTTCATCTGACAGCATCACCATGATTCTACGACATAATTGAGAAGTAGTTTTAATTCACTGATGCTGCAGAGATAGGCAGGTAGACATATGTACACAGAGATTGCAAGTTAAAACAGGGGGAGAGAAAGATCTGTCTATGTGAAAACATCCTGGGCCGTGCCATATTTATAAGAAATACACAGTCTATATTCCAGCCAGCTACAGATTTCACGAGCACCACTCTCAGCTACAGCACACTTAAAACATAAACACATGCAGCCACCATCGATCTTTCCAAATTTCAAATATTACTCAAACTTGTTTTCCACTATGTGGTATTAACGAAATATTTACCTTTCCTAATCGCTGATGTTCTTCAAAAGCAGAAATCAGTTCTTGTGCCCACTTTATTTTTTCAGGGCTTGGAGAGAACTGTTCCTGGACAACAGCAATTTGGTTAGGGTGAATCACCTGCTTACCTACAAAGAAGATTAATAACACCAGAATCATGCATCGACAAACAGATGTTCAAACAAAATGTTCCAACCACTTGAGGCTCTCATATGCCTCATAGACTTTCTGCTATTTAACTGATTATTTTACTTTTTTTTTCCTTTCCTTTCCTTTTTTTTTTTTTTTTCCCCAACTGGACATCGCGCACATAGCCTTTTGCCAGATTTTTTTAAGAACAAAAATATCTCGAGCCAGAGCTGCTTGAGCATCACTTGAAAGAACCCGCAGTGCTTCCCCCTCCCTCCCAGTTCAAGCCACGCGTCGCCCTTCTGTTGTTTCAGGTGTGACCGTTTGGCCGGGGCGGTCAGGACCGACTCGGCACAGAGCATCGCTGAATTTTAGCCGTATAGATAGATAGCAGCGCCAGCCACGCAGAAACAAGCTGTAATAAAGTCTGTTCAGGACACGAGATCTGATGGCGAGAGATTTGTCGACCTGAAAGGTTAACAGCAATGCGGGGATCATTCCCTAGATCCTCAGTGCAAGCTCAGCGGCAGCAAGTGCTCGCTGGTTTGTGCATGTTTGTTGTGGTGCTACCCGGCTGCTGCAGGTGTGGTGCCAGGTTTATTTAGTTACAGGTATACGAAACAGTTATCAGAGGGATCTTGGCATTTTATTAAGCACTTCCCTAAGCTTTCTTGCATAAATATGCACTGAGGAAATACAAAGAGATGTTGCCTTTTTTTTTACTACAAACTTTCCCATGTGAGTAAATAGCCACCTAATGCATTTTCATCTGTTGTTGCACTTAGCTATATTGAAAAGAACACCTATCATCTCATTTGTTGGAGAGGGCAGCATTTGCCATCATCAGTTCGTTTTTAAAGGAGTTCAGCAGCCCCGTGTGATTTCTGCACAATTATCTGCGCGTTGCTTTGGAAGCGCTTCAAGGCCGAGCGCGGCTACCCTAATTCCCGCTTTTCCGGACGCGCAATCCGTGCGTTTTCTTGGCAGCCTCCAGCAAAGCGAGTCACCGCGAGCCCCGTCCCGCAGCCCCGTGCGCCGGGGTCCCCGCCGCGCTCGCTCGCGTGCTCCCAGCGCGCGTGGCCACGGAGAGGCACCGGTGGGAAACCACGCGGGCTCTGCAGAGCGCCGTGCCAGTGGCCAAAGGGGCAGCTCTCACCCAGCTGAACCGGGGGCCGGCGACAGCGCGGGGGGCAAACACGAGTCCTGCCTGCACCGGCACAGGCCGCTCGCTCTGAGCGCTCAAGGAAATAGTTACTGCTAAGAGTTACTACCTTTCTGCAGTAAAAAGGCATAAATTGGTCGGTTTTATTTTATTCCCCGTTCAACAATCTTTTGTTTATGATCTTTAGGCCATCCAAATTTTCAGTTTCACATTGCATTAAATATTAAATATTAAAAAAAGGCTAAAATACAGTTAGAAGTTTAAAATTCATTAAGAACTGCATCATTAGAAAGAAATTGTATTGGCACAAATTTCTTAAGCTAGTAGCGTTTGCATTAGTTCCAGTTAAAAGTGTTTTAGACAATTTAATCAAATGCTGCTATTAACAAGACTCTGACATTCCTTATTTTTCTTATTTTTAATATGACATGCTCCCCCCAGTTACACTAGTAACTCTAAAGTTAAAGAGTGGAGAACTAACTCCCGCAAAATCCTACAAAGTTTAATTTTCTGGGAAAAATGTAGAGTATATTTGAAATTATCCTGAAAATCTCTCTGTAACAAAAATGAAAATAATTATTTTACTATGCTTTGATTTTTAATAATGTGTATTTTGCTATGATTTTCTTAGGTGTAAAACATTTCTATAATAATGTTTTATTTTCACAAAGATATTTGTAGTCATAAACGACACTTTGTATCGTTAAAACATTTGTGAGCAGCTTGCAGAAAGCAATCTAACATTTGATTTATAGCACTCGGTTGATTTTTGTCACAGATTATGTATCCAAATAAGTGTATAATAGACGTAATGCCATGCAGGAATGAAGCAAATATTTTAAACGGAATTGTTGTTATTGACAAGTTACTGAGAGAGTGCAAAATTGGAAGACATTAAAATTTATGACCATGAAATCCTTTTTACAGTACCACTTGATATATTGTGCTTTAAATCAATACCTGTCAAGTCTTTTAGGTGTATGATGGTGTCATTTTAGTCTTCTACAAAAGACTGCAAAAAGAGGAAACCTATAGCGTTTCATATTTATATCTGGCTTCTCAGCATGTAGCTCGGGACTTTCTCTAATGACTAAGTCAGCTGTTAAAGCTTATTCCGAGGTTTACTTAATTTTTATACAAACATCCCCAAAACCGATGAGCATTTATACAGACTTGAACTCCGCAGGCTATGGCATTGTTAAGCATTTTGCTCTGTGTGTACTTGAACTCCGCAGGCTCCGATGAGCATTGTTAAGCATTTTGCTCTGTGTGTATGTGTGTATATATGCCCATTGCATACATATATTTTATTAAATTTATACATCAAAAAAAAAGGTATATTGCCTTGGCTAAATTACATTTGAAAACATTCTGATATATGAAAACACCCTTACTGAAGAAACAGTTGGCTATTTATAAGATACCTGGAAGGAAAGAAATGCTACAATAAGCAGTGAGGGGTATAATAGTAACTAAATAAATGGTAAACTCTTCGTTACATTATTTAACTTTTCTAACAGGAAGCATATTTGATTACATTAAGTCCAGCTCCAGTGGTCTAAATCTAAATACAGGAGAGTTCTAAGGCCATACAACTTTGCTGAGTATTATGAATTTGCATGTGTTTTCAGGGTGCTAAATCTGGCCTCTTTGCAGGCAAATAAGTGTGCGGTTTGCCAGTTAACAGATCAATTTGAAAGCCTTAACTCATTTTTGTCCTGTTGATTTCAATGATTCTAATGATATGTGAAAAAATAGCAGGATGTGCTCTTCAATATTTAAAAATAAGAAGAATCATATGTTTGGAACTTCTTGTTAAGGCAACATTTCAGTATTTTATTATCACATTATCAGGCAGTTGTCACTGGCAAATATGATCTGCAGACTTCTGCTTTGTAGGTCACAGATTAAGCTAAAACCCATTTGTAATTTTCTGTGATGAATATTAAATGGGAAATGCTGAAATGTTTGGAACAAAATTTTAGTTTTGAAATATTTTCTTTTAAACAAAACAAGCAAAGATTATAAAAATATTTTTTAAAATGAAAGCAAAAGAAACAAACGAAATATTTTGGATCGACCTCAAATATATGTTTTTCTTTTTACCAAAAGTATGAAAAAATCTGTTTTGTTTTGACAAGAGCAGATTTTTTAACGACTTTTTTTTTCTCTCTCTCCCTTCTGGCCACCAAATCAGTATTGACCCACGTCTAATTGCGACTGGACTGGTCGGGCTGTTCGCTGCGTTTCTGAGCTGTGTGGTTGGTGGTTGTGGGGAGGCAGAGGCAGAGGGCAGAGGCTGTGAGTTCGGGCCGGCGCAGGCTGCACCTTCTCCTGCCCTCGCTCCCGCTGCGGAAACGCCGGCCGCCCCGCGCCTGCCTGAGGAATTAACTTTGTGCCCTAAGCTGCCGGACGGGACCATTTTCTTTGTCACCTCTCTGGGTGCTATCCTGGGGTCAGATAGTGTCCTATGCATAGTCTGTGGAGTCTGAAACACTATCAGTGTTGCTTATGCTTAGTATTTTCTAGATTTTCTGAATTGGCAGCCTGGATCCAGTATTTAAATACACATTAAGCATTCCAGAAGAGTGCTCTCAAAGGTGCTTAGCATCTGCAACTCCATCTTCTGTCTACAGGAGGTTCAGATACTTAAGTTTTCCAAAAATCAAGCCTCCCTTAAATTAGAAAATATTGCTCTAGATTATGTAGCCATCAGCAGGTTTTACCATTCAGGAGCTCTATTATTTTCCTGGCTTCAATAGCAGGAGAACCAAGAGTGGGAGTCAATGTGGGCATAGATAACGTTCAGTACCTGTGAGGAGCTAACATTTTTACCTCTGAAACGAGGGTTGGTTTTGTAGATGCTGAAGTTCAGCAGACAACAAGTCAGAGCTTGAGCTGGTGAAAATGTGCTGCTCATCTTTTGCTGCCGTGCCCAGAACACTTAGAAGAACACTTGGGTTTTTTGGATTACTGTGCTTACTGCTTCCAGATACTACATGCTCTTAACTGTAAAAATACATTTCGTTTGCTCATGTCATCGGGACATACTCCTTGGATAATAAAATCTCAGAAAATATCCTATTGTCCTTAAATATGCCTTGAACGGTGATCAGAGACCAAATAATCTAAAATGTTAGTGTTATATCCTCGCATTCTATAATGCATGTGTCAAATGGCTGATTTCTATTGCAAAAACACAATCTTTGGTGGCTGCACGGTCTCATCAGGGTGTCTGAGTGATCTGGTACACCAATCACAGGGTAACAGTCTGCATTACAGGACTCTGTTGCAAGGAGCCTGCTGGTCTTGCTGTCTGCCAACACCCGTAGGTGTCACCAGCACTTACTGGGAGGGGAGCCAGGAGATGAAAAACAAATCAAAGAAAATAATAAGAAATAACTTTCCCGTAGCAGTTAGCAGGCAACATTTGCTTATCAGCTTCTTCACCTAAAAAGTAATTTTTTTAACAGCTGCCATTTAAAAATATGAAACGGGGATCAAAATATCTTAAAAAGCAATTGTGGGCTGATGGGATTGCGTTTCCCATGCTCCGTGATGGGAGGAAGCATGTAGTGCCTATCCTCTACTCAAACTTCTTGAAAAACGCCCGGGCGCTTGATGGGGTGTGATTTTAAAAAGCAGCCTGTGATTCTGCAGGTAAAAATTTCCAGGCTCAGTTTTAAAGGCGCTAATAAATGTAAACGCATTTGGCACTACTTAGCTTTTCAATAAATTAGCTGAAATAAAACAGCCAAGCTGTTTGCCTAAGTAACAGTAAATGCAGCGACACATTTAAACATGAGAAGATGTGCAGTGTTTTGAGATGTTGGCAGAAACTCATACCCGTGAATCCCATGGAGGCTCCTTCTCTTGACTGCTTGCGGAGCCCCTCTTCGTCCCGGAAATCGATGTAAACAAGGTCTATAGCTTGTAGGCCAAAAGCCTTGGCGGTTACTACGATTTTTTGCCTGGCATATAGAATATCATGAGTTTCCTTACTGCTTGTTGCACCTGTGAAAACAATGAAAACGAGGAAAAGATGGTAACATTGTTTTAAATCTTTTTATTCTAAACATTTCTTATTAAAAAAGATATTTTAGATTTCACTTAACCATTTCAGGAAGCAAAAGAGGGATGCAAGGCTGTGTTGCCAAAATAATGGTCTTTTGAGCCAAGAATAAGCCTCTTTAGCAAAAAAACTCTCTCTTTACACAAAATTGAGGTTTTGATTCGGTTCAGGTCAGAATCAAGTCAGTAGAAGTTTTGCCTGGCAAGGAGGATCGAGGTGGGACTCATCTGAAGTAATTATTCAGTTGTATTATTTACTGTATGTGCACTGTAAAGCATTACAGCACGAGAGGCTTCATACAAATTGGCATATTGGGTACAAATAAATGGTTAAAAATTCACACTGAGAACAGAATTGCACTTTCCTTGGTTGTGATTCTTGTCACAACTGATGTCCTAAGCTGAATATTTAAGCTTCAGCATTTGGATGAAAAATGATGGTAGATGCCTTCCAAGAGGAACCCAAAGTATTCACGAGACTTCATGTGCTTGCACTTCACCAGCTAAGCAACATTCGCACATGAAGGCTGGTGTGAAAAAATAACTGTGTGCTACTTAGACCCAGATTTCCAATTTGTAAGGAATAATTTAGTCAAGCGATGTTAATTTTTACATTAACATCTTTATATTTAATTTATACACTTACAGGTTTGAGCTATGGTCTTTAACTGAATCAGATTAAAAAGATAATGGCCTTCTATGAAGCATATTTTGAAATGCTTTTCATTTCTGAGGAAGAGTAATAGTGCTTTAACATAAATCCATGGCAGAGATGACTGTATTGACAGTATTGTTTAGAGTAAATTTATAAAAGCAAAACATAACAGGAGATTTGTTGTGTATGACGTCAAAAGCCTATATTATAATTGATTGTAGAGCAGTGATAAAAGAAAAAGCAGGATTTTAGTACTTTAAATACAGTTCTTAAAACTATGTGCATGTTTCTTATAGATATTATATTTTTAAACAATGTCAGTGACTCAACAGGTTTTGCTTTGTTTTCTTTAATCTTCCACGGAACAAAAATTTCAAGGAAGTGTCCTGTAACATACAGGGACCATGATTTCATATCACCACAATTCATTCTGCATTGGAAAAAAATATGAAGGAAATATAGAATGCTGCATCTAATGTTTGCCTTTCTTTAATTACTGCTGTCAGAAAAGGTGGATAAATCACATGAGGTTTTTCCAGTGTCATCCTGGAGCATTTACAATAAACAGGGAGGCAACTACCTATGCTGGCACGGAAATCCTCTCCTCCAAAGACGACTGCATCCAAATGAAAGCCAAGTTGGGAGCCTGCTCGCAGTGCTTCTTCGCAGACAGCCTTCAAATGAGAACAAAACATTAATTTCTGCAGAAATGCAGGAAGCACGGGGGCTAAGAGCTATTACCTCAGCTCAACATTATGAAAATTCACAAATCCTTCAGTTACAATTGCTTCTACTAAGCAAGGCCATTGCAGGTGTTTGACAGTGTACAGTGCTTTAAAATGACTCAGCAAATAGAAATTATGTTTGACTAAGTATGTGTACCTACCTACACTGCGTAGCTACAGGACACCATACTCAATTCCCTACCTTATTGCAGCAGCTTACTATAATGCCTTAGGTATTATGTTGTTTATGGTACTTTGACTATTTATGTAGCAATACCGAACTAAACGCTTGACAAGTATTGCCTAAAAGCAAACAAAAAATATTAAATTTGATTAGTTGAGCATTTAGTGGTATTGCACAAAAAAATCTTTTGGTAAATAAATAAGATCTTTTATTAAATGGTTGAGGATTCCTTATTGGATAGACTGCCAGTTTAAAGCCTTTTGTCACACATAACTAAAAAATAGCTAAGAAAGTTAAAAGTGCAACAAGTGCTGCAGCAAAGTATTAAAGTAAAAGTGAAGAAAATTTTGCTACTGCAGTTCTTTGGAAGTGCTTTTCCAAATTACTACTATTTTATATCAATATTTAAATAATATTATTATTTTAAGGATGTTCCAGGATAGCGTATGTAGGGAGCATCAGATGTAATCCCAAACGCTACTAGTGGGTGTTCTTCTACGGCAGCCGTCGGGATAAGAAGTTATTATAAAACAGATTGCTTTAAAAGGCAACTCTCCTGCCAGCATCAAGGGCTACAAAATATTAAAACTTCCACCAAAAAAAAAAAAAAAAAAAAAAAGCCTTGGACAGACAGCTTAAAACAGAATGTAATTAATTCCATGAATGCAGCCCAAGCAGGAGCAGGTTTACATGGCAATGCTCTGTTGTGAGGCGAGTTGCAGCACAGGGTGTTGTGGGGTAAGTGGCTGCCTCGGAGCCTGCGGGTCGCCCTGGTGGCTCCTCTTGCACGGGCGTCCCCAGCTGCTCCGCAGCTTTTCCCGGGGAGCGGAGGGGAGGGAGGCTGCGTTGCTGGGGAATGTGTCCAGGTTTCCCATTTAACCCATTTAGCTAGGTTATCAGCCTACTCGCTTTTGTAAAAAAAAAAAAATAATAATAATGGGGGGGAGGTTGATACTAAAGACCAAGAGGCATTTATATATGTAAAAAAATATTTAAAAAAAAACAGTATAAAATACGATCTGAACTAAAATTGCCTTAAAAAGAAACACGTTCTTCAGACAGGTGATATTTTCAAGGTTCAGTTATGCACTGAGTCTTAGTATTAACTTTCATCATATGCTCTTGTGAAAGGCTGTAACATGAAATTTGATCAAAATGTTATCAGTAGAAATCATCATAAAAACACCAGTTTAGGAATAGTGAAATGGTATTTTTTTTTTCGAATGACAGGGTGATACAAAATCAAGTTTGATAGCTGCTAAATAGTCCAGTCTACTGCAGCAATGTGAGTTTCCCAAATCATTTTGTAAGCATGTTTGTATTAGAAGGATATTAAAAATCATAATAATAATGATGTGGAGAGGTCTTGTTATTTGGCATGGACTATCTTGAACTGTTCTTTCACTGAAATATTCAGGATTTATGAAGGTCTTTACAATACAAACATGAGCATTGACCACCCAAATGTTTTAGGGGATTGAAATCAAAATGCTTGTTATTTTTCCACCTCTCTTCTTTAAAGTAGTTGCTGAGAGACTATGGACTATTTCACTTATCTTAGATTGCTGCAATGATAAAACATGAACACTTCAGCCCCATTAAGAGCTGCTTACCTTAAAATTGAGCAAGCCCAGTGCAGTTTCCACAAAAGGGATAAAATTCATTGGTTCTACAAGTGTTCGGCCCTTTAAGTGATGGGAGAACTTGTCTGAAAACTAAAACTAGACAGCGTGAGCAATTGGAGAAAAAAAAAGGAAAAAAAAAAAAAACATTCACAAGAGTCCACGTGTCCCGACAACACTCTGCATCTTTCACCTGCTCGCAACCCCCCCGCCCCAGGTTATCGTTCAGGAAAGCTTTGAGCCAGGGCTGTTGGGAGGCCTGTGCTGCAGCACCGCGGAAAGATTTGGGAGTTTCAAGGCTCGGTTAGAAAAACGAAAACAAAAACAAAACAAAAAAAAGACATGAAAAGGAGAGAAGAAGGGACCCGCGCCGGGCGCGCGGCACCCTGGCGCGCTCGGTGCGGAGCGGCGGCGCGGTACCTGGCGTCCTGTTTTGTTTCGGGGCCAGCACTGACATCGGCGCCCGTGCGCCGCGGCCTTCTAAGTGGCATCCGTATTATTCATTACGGCACCGTTGCCCTTTGTTCGGGAGGCTTTTCTTCATAATTTTTAGCTTACCTAGGAAGGCCTTAAAAAGGAAGTTTAATTCTTTGAAGACCAAAGCTCTCCAATTTTTTCCATGAGACCAGTTCACAGCTAGCTCTGAGCTGCCAGTGGGGTAGCCCAAATTCCAAAATCTATCATCTGGAAACATACAAAAGCTCTCGCACTGATTTTTTTTTTCCCCTTTCAAAAGGGGGTTAAAAAAAAAAGGAAGAAAAAAAAAACCCTCAGCCCTATATTGTAAATCTATTATGTCTGCCCAGATCTAGGAATTTGTGAGGAGATAAACACATCACAGGTATGGCAAAGATATTGTCGTAAATAAAGACAAAAATAACATATGCATATATTTTAAATTTAAGGAATATTCGACTATTAATGGATCTCAAAGGAAGGGGAATTTTAATCATCTCTCCATTCAGTCTCAGTTGGGTAAATCATATCTAAGAGATTTGCATAAATATAAACCATCAAAGACTTTTCATCTTCAAAGGGGGTTTCAAGACCCTATAAGCTTTGTACTGTAATCATCGCAGGTCACAACCCTGCAGGAATAAGGCTGCTATGGCAACATAAAAAACTAATGCTTAAGGCTTAGCATAATATTCTGACTAATAGAAAGGAAACTCATTTTAAAAGCTGGCAGCCTATTTACCAGAAGCTGGATTAGAGGTGTTATTTCCCCTTTTAGCTTCCCCCACTGCCCCTCCCCGAAAGAAAGAAAATCTAATCACTGCGATCTTTAAAAAGCTTTCGAGCAATTTGCAGTAACTTTACAATTAGGCCAAAATAAATCACAGCTTTCCGCGACCAAGAATTGCGCCCTTCCCATCGTGGCTTTGCAGCGGCGCTGCGCTCCTCTCCGCAACTTTTCCTTGGGGGAAGAGAATCGCACCCAAAAGGGCAGGGAAAATCACTGCATTTCACGCGTGCAGCTGCACCGGGTGACAGGTACCGCCAAACTTTGGATGGGCAAATACAGGATGTGAGGCAGTCACATCGCATCAGCTCTTGTGTTTAGGCTGATTTTTATTTCTTAGCTGACAAAAAAAAAAAAAAAAAAAAAGGAAAATGCTACCCGGTTTATACATGGGGCGCCAGGTGAAGCAGCCCGCCTCTTCACGTGTTTTAAACTGTTTAAAAAGTCACACTCCTGCGATTTTTAGCATCTTTTGTCTCAAAGGTAAACACCGAAAAAGAAAAGAAGGTGTAATTAAATATCGTCGGCCTTCCTCTCCCTTTGAAAAAAATCAGCAGCAAGCGCCCATACAAAAGGTAGCGAGTGGAGAAGTTTCAATTAATTTTTTTTTTTTTTCAAAAGGAGGAGATGATTAAATGTTTCCGGCCCGGTAAAGTGTTCATTTCAGGGAGAAGGGGGTGAAAGCAGAGAGAGAAAAAAAAAAGGGGGAAAGAAAAAAAAAAAAGAAGAAGGAGGAAGGAAGGCGGAGGGAGGCGAACAAAGCGCGGGGAGGGGACGGAGTAGCGGGGCACAGCGCTCCTTTCAATTCCCGTGCACACCCAATAGTGTGTGGGGAAGAATGGCCACTGGTCGGGATTTGTGGGAGAATTGTCCCGCCACAAAGGCGCGCGGGTCACGCTTGTTACAGCCCAATAAGCCATGCCAGTCAAACAAGTCCCCGCGCCGGGCACAAAAGGCGAGCAAGAGATTCGCGCACAAAAGCGAACAAGTAAGCCCATCTTTTTCGCGGCGCATCAGCCGCTCGCTCCGTGGCCGCGCGCCCCGGCCGAAGGCGGGCCGAGGAGCGGAGCGGCGCGCGCGGGGCCGCCAACGCGGCAGGAAGACGACGCCGGGAAAAAGAAGAAGCCGGCGAGCTCACGGGTGCCCTTTTTGAGTAAAATCACCCCGTGCCATGCAAGGAGAGGGCGCTTCGTGTCTGAGGCTTTCACCAAGAGGGCCGAAACGCGGCCCATGGGACTGCGCTCCGGCTGGGAAGGCAGCGCCTGTGGTGCGAGCGAGGGCCCTGCCATTTTGGGAGCTCCCATACCCACTCGTGCCAAGTGGCGTCTTGCTCTTTCGTGGCCACAAACCCCGAGTAGGATGCGACTTTTAATTTAATTAGGTACCAGCACGAGGGGACGCGTTGCCCACCGCGAGCTCACCCACCTCGGGGTGGCTACGCTAGTGGATTTATCCAAGAACATCGGGCCGAACAACTCAGTGTTAATGCGTCACTGGCAGTTTTGCCGAAATAACGGCATTTCTAGGCAAACTCTCCTCGCTTCTTGACAATTAAAACAATTACGGCATAATCAGGGCGATTTCAAAGTTTTCTTAAGTAATTTGACATGCCAACCATTTACATTTCAGGGTTTTATTGGCTGAAAAGTCACTCATGAAACACAAACACACCTGTCAGCAATTAAAAAGGAAGAAATAGAGAACAGTTCAGGAAATAATATCTGTGCTAATTAAAACCACTAGTTAAAAGCTTCCTGTTTGTTCCTCCAGTTGCCCCAAGGAGTGACCTTCCCCCCAACCCATTTTTTTTCATATGTTGCTACCATGTTTTCCCTATTTCCCAGCATGTAACTAAAATACACCCTTTTACATGTCAGAATATTTGGAAAACAGTCAGATACTGAGATTTTGCTCCTATTTTCAACCTTAACAATTCTATGATTCCATGATTCTATGATTTTTCATAATATACTGGGCCATCAATATTGCTGCTTTATTGATTGTGGAAGAAATAAAGCTAATTTTCTTCATAAATGCCAGGTATTCCATGTATGTTTTTCATACAGCACATCTCAGGCACATTTAAATGGATGCATTTCCCAATTACCTTCGCCAAGCAACAACATCATATGCTATTTGCAACCTTCTTCAATATACCCTTCTCTTAGCTCATCCGTCTCTACGCCTGCCCTCTTGGCTCAACCACTTCAGCCAGAAGATACTATGTTGGAAAGCAGGTAACTACTCACCCATCTTATTTCTTCAACATTTTCAACTTTTGGCAGCATCATGCTTGAAGGAAGGGCCCTGGACTGCAAAAGCACCTCCAGATCTTGTTCTGCCAAACCACTGGACACAGAATTTATCCGAACGCATTTTTCAGTGTGGCCAAAGTCAAACTCTTCAAGTGTTTTCACCACTGCCAGTCTTGCTTCTCTCTGCAATATATATATGTAAAGGCACAGGAAGGAAGAAGGAAAGAAGGAAAGAAAACATTTATTTTTTTATTGATGAACAAGGCCACTGAGCAGAAAACTTGCTAAAATGGCGGAGGGGAAAGCTAGACAGCCATTATATATTTTGTCCCCAAAATGTCTATCACTCTTGGTCTTTTTCTACACCACTCATCACCACAACGTGACCTTTCTAATTTCTTTATAGCTAATAGATAAATGCTCACGCTTCAGGCCTAAGTATTTCTACAGTGCCATTGTAGAAAGCAAGCAGTGTGTCCAGTGTTACTGAAGATGTCCAGCAAACACCAGTCTTTATAGGATGTACTATCATACATTTATATAAAACGATTGTTGTAATCCATTGCTCTCTGGCATGTGCTGAAATAGCACAGACGCTATTTTAGCGAGCACGGATACATGTACATTTCCTTGGTTTTGCTACAAACATATTTTTCTCCCTAAGTGTGAAGCGCATGAAAGCCCATAGCAGCGTGCGCGACTCAGGTGTTGTAAGAACAACACCAAGGGACCCTGTGGTTTTCCTTGAACCCTGTGAAAAGATTCTCTCCTAGCGGCACAGAGCACAACCTCCAAAGCCACTTGCTCCTCATTGCCAATCCATCATTACCATTCTCAGACTGTAAATGTACAGATCTGCTTAATATTTTTGATCAACATGAAGAATACTTGAATGCTTTACGGCCATGAAACACTTTTATTGGCCTCCAGAAGAAGAGGGCAGGGGGAAGGAAAGCACTTGGGCTCCCGACTTCCTGCCAATTTCAGTTTCAAAACCAAATTCCTCGCGCTCGCCAACAGCCCCTAACAAATTCCCATTGTCGGAGCGAACACTTATCAAAAGTCATTTCATTTGTGAAGAGTTTTTACGGCACTAATAAAACTTTAAAGCTCCTGGCTCACGCGCGCGAGCTCAGGAGAGGCTTTAACCATAAGCAGCCGCTGACCGGTGATGCCTGTCGAGAAAGCAGACGAAGCCGAAGAAAAGAAGGAAAAAAGAGGTCCTCAGAGTTAATACCCAGGCTAATAGCAATCAGCGAGACAGCACACGGCGGTCAATTTAAACCAGGCGGCCGCGGGGCAGAGGGACAGACGCGGCCCCTGACGCGGTGCGGGGACAGCAGCGCCTCGCGGCCGGCTCGCACGAGGAGCGGGTGGCCGGGACGCGCGCCAGACACCTCCACGCACGCGGATTGACCGTGTCCAGAGTCACGGCAAAATAGGGAGCAGTGGCTCTCAGTGGGCAGCGGGAACGGATACTGGAGCGGAGAGCTGACGAACCTTCGGCATGGTGCTGCCAGCCAGGCTCCTTTGCAGACCTTAAAAACATGCCCCATAATCGCAGAGAGGAGAATAAGGTCCCTGCAGTCCTGTGTCCCCAGTGTAGCCTTTTTCAGAAATATCCAAGCCCTATGATGCCACTCGCGGCCAACACAAGCGCCCTGCCCTGCCCTTCTCAGAGCAGGAGCAACCGGCTCTCCGGGCTAGCCGCAAAGTTTCCGGGGCTGATGCAGCACAGCAGTCTAAAAACTCCTCTCCAAACCAGTCTACGCTCTTAATTAAAGTCAGATTATCGCAGTTTCAGCACACACTGATCCAATTTGCAAAATGAAGATCTCCCCAAATCACCCACTAAGGCGGCGTCCAATTCCAGCGGAAGACACATCACTGGGAAACTCCTCACAACATAATTTATTATGTTTTTTTTTTTTTTTTTCCCTCCAGATTATAATAATGAGCACTAGACTGTCTCAGTAGCTATTTTCCTCCCCAGGCTGCAAACTCCCTTCCCAAAAAAGACAGATCGTGTCTTTCTAGGTATATTTCCATACAAAACACTTATTAACAGGCTGTTGCTGTTATCAATTTACATAAACTAAATGTGCAGCCCTCTGGTACGTATCCCAAAAATAACCAACAACTTCACTGAATTTATACCAACCAACAAGCACGGGGAGGGGGGTTGTTGTTTTTTCCCATATTTTAATAGAAAATATGTTGCTATGTTAGTTAACACACCCATACCATCTGTTGGGTTGAGCATTGATGCATTTTCTTAGAACCACTACATTTTAGGTCTGTTTGCCTAGATCTGTCTGCTGACAGACCCCAGAATGGGAAAGACTCTCTCCCATGGTAAAATGCTTCGAATCATCAGGATTCTGGATCAGGAATTGATTCACATTTTTAATCATGGGTCAAACTGTCAGGACCTGGTTGCCCAAAGACAGATCTCCTGAGGGGTCTCACCTTGCATCTGTCTGAAAAAAGTGGGGAAAATCCCTGTGATGTTTGTGAAGCAGCATCAGGTCCCCACACAGGTTTCCAAGAAAGCATTTTATGGGTAAATAGGAAAATGTAAAAATGGGAAGACATTTCTGCCTCATTATGCAATGGATCACAGATAGTACTCTTTTTGCATGATGCATGCAAAAGCTACCTACACTACTTTAAATAGTAGTAGATAAAATACATGGTGCTTGATACAGTAATGCTTTTATAGCAATAGAGGTAAGGATGAACATGCTTTCCAAACTGTATATAAACTCCCTGCCAAGAATGGTCAAGCTGGAAATTTTAAAGAGCAGTGAGAGAAATGATTTATTGTATTCTTCACATTAGAACTACAGCACCAGACAGGACTCTGCCACGAACAAATTGGTGATAGAGTAATAAACCTAATTGTTAAATATAAATACATTACTCCATCCCCAAGTAGCTTGGGATTACTGTATCCCAGGTAGTGCTCAGCTTCCATGGGAGTTGGGCACTTCATTAAATTGAGAAAGAAAAATGACAACAGACAACTTTCATGGTAAGCAGCGATACTATTAAAATTCGTCCAGCTGGCAGCTTTTACTGGAAAACCCATTCTGGGGCTGCTTAAACGTCACCACGCTGGTCAGCGTGGCTCTTTCTGCACCCGTTCTGCTTGATGGCGAAGAGGACACGGGCAGATTTTCATAGCCCTATTCAACGACAGCCATTGCAGGAGAGAAGGGCCACGGTGACGGAGCATCACGGATGAATCAGCCTCCACCAGGGCCTTGCACAGACCCCGAAATTAAAGACGGGGGCACACACGTAGCCGGCTCGATGGGCACCCGTTAAAGCTAATAACTAATCCTCACAAGTTCCTAGCGCTGCATTATCAAATCTGCAAAGAAAACAACATCCGTCCACTTTTACACTCCAGTGGAAGAGGTGGTCCCTCGCGGCGGGGCTGCACAGTCTCGCCATCTGGAGAATAAATCGAGTGTGAAGTACAGTATAGTTTGGGACCAAGCTCCGTGGCGGCAGCCCAGCAGTTAGTTCATTAGTTCCAAACTTCCAGGGATTAGTGCGGTATCAATTCTGCTGTCGGATGGGATAAGGCGGGCAGGAATACGAGATTCGAGGAAGAATGTGACAAGCCAGGAGGCCGTGGCTTAGGTCGAAAACGGCTGCATCCAGACACACCGAAAGAAACTCCCGAAGCAGCCGTGGGAGCAGAGCCTCTGAATGCCCGAATTGGACTCTGTACCTTTGCTCCTCTTCTGCTTGCTTTTTGTTCTGCTTTTCCTTTAAGCTCTAGGGCAGCACGCAGCCCCTTCGGCTTTGAAGCCGAAGGAATGGCAGGGCATGGGAAGCTCACCCACCCGCTCACCCTGCACACGGCGCTAATAAAGAAATAATGAAACCAAGATGTTCAGATGTGCAGAGCTTGGGCTTGGAACAGGAGACAGAACAACAACAACAATAAAACAACAAACATTTTCTACTTTCTCTGGAAATTGGTAATACACCTCACCAGTCCGTTTTCCAGCACCGTGGTTTCCAGAACTGCCTGATTAAGGGGAGGAAAGAGAAAGGCCTATATCTGCATACATATGTGCATGCATAAGGTCCTGTTCCTTTCGAGCTGCAGCACTGTTGTACTTCCTTTTCCTTGCATATTCTTATACCTTCTTTGTTTTGGTTTGGTTTTTTGAGACCTTAGGGTGTTAAGTATATTTAAAGATATATTTTTATATAGATCATCCCAAAGACATCCATAGATCTCATCCCATTAACATCTTAAAAAAAAGGAATTCATATAAAAATGTACATATATGATGCACTAAAATGGCTGGCCAGAATGTATCATCCTCATTGCGATAATAAGTTTGCATGTTTCAAATGGCAAATCGAAAAATTAATTACTGTAATCACAGCTCAAGTTATTTTTTGTGGCAGGTCTGACATGATAAAAACATACAATTATGTGTTAATGTTACTTCCCTGGAGTGGTTTGTTTGCAGAACTTGACAGTGCTGAATCTTTTGTCACTTACATTCGTTCATACCATGCAAATCTAGATGTTGCCTTTATCCTAGAAGACACTGCAGAAGCACACAAGTGTGCCCATAATATTATACTGGCAAAACTGAGTGTTTGCAGAGGGAAATCCTGACATTTTCTCCATATAGATTTACAAGATACAGAATATAGAATACATACAGAATAGCTTCAAATTCACAAATGGGATCAGCAGGGGAAAAGAAAAAATACATTTCTTTTCAAGGAAACAAAGAAAACCAGAAATGTGGAGCAGAATGTTTCTGAAACCAGGAAATACTTGTTCATGATACCTGTCTTCTCCTTGTGCCAGATACTTGTAAGGATAAATCTTTAGAATGGTAAATATTTATTTTCAGTTAGTCCAAAGAACTGTCATAAGAAAACACATATGTTGCAAAAGCTTCTAGAAGCAGTTATTAAATCATTTATTTTAGTTACTTTATAGGCCGATTAATCAATTCAGGGTTTTTTTTAAAGAGCTGTGCAGCTTTAAAACACATTTTCTTTCAGTCCAGCGGAGAACATGCTAGACCCTACATGCAATCCTAAAAGCAAGAAGCGAAGAGGCTGGGGGAGAGGAAGGCCTCCAGGGCTTATGATGCTATTTCTCCTCTGCGATGTAGGTGTACACATGTTTTAGACCACTGCAAGATTCTGATTTTTCTGCTCCTCTTTCTTGAAATGTTCAAAAACATCTTTTCTCCTTAATAAAAATTTGGTCTATTCAAGCCTTCTCTTTTTTTTTACACAATCCTTTCCACTTTTCTGAAAAAAGAGATACTTTATCACCTAATGATTCACCTGAGTGCATCGCTAGCATCTGCTGCTTCCTCTCTGCTCTGCGGACTGCCTTTAGGTGCTGTACGTGGTCTAGCAACACTCAAACTGAAGCAAACTCCCTCCATGCTGCGGATTAACCTGCCGCTTCGCTGTGCTCTGCTGGGGCATCGTAATGGCCTGACCCGTTTTCCTGGAAGCTTCGTTCCAGATCTCGCCATGCCCTAACGCGCCTCGCCGTAATATTTCTCCGTGTTTCCGGAGGAGGAGGTCTCTCAGAGCTGTCGGTGGCTCCTCGGGAGCCGCCGCGGAGCCTTAGCCAGTGTCCCCCTCCTCCTGCCGCCGCCGTGGGGACCCCGGGGAGGGTCGGTGGAGATGATCCGATATCATCCGCGCTGGACACTTTCCAGCTAGGACCATCCAGCAGCATTTGGGCTCAAGCTACCAGAAAAGCAGGGAACCGAAGAGCAAGGCCACGGTGACAGGCGGGGACCCGGAGCGGGGAGCATCCCGCAGCACGGGGCTGCCGAGCACCAGGACGCTCCCCACGAGCAACACGAAATCACGTTTTAGATAATTCTCACACGTGCAGATCCCTTATAAAAAATGTACATAGAGGCCAGAGTACTGCTAATATGAATGGACGTACAGAAATGTTGATACAATATGAAGACTTAGCATAAATCCCTCTGCTTGTTCCAGGACCAATGCAGCATTTTATTTACGTGTGAGGATATGCATAAACACAGAGACAGGCTTCTACCTTAGGACTGCGTGTACAATACTATTTTAAACCTTTTACTTTTTTTTTTTTTAAATGATAGAATCATATGCAGTGGCTCCAGCAAAGGACAATTTTGTTCCCGTACGTAGGCAGCCATTCTCGGTCTGCCAACTTTTATAAACACTTATGAGAGAGATGTAAACAGCCTTTCAATTAAGACAAATCAAGCTAACACTAATTTAAGCTGGCTGCAAGATGTAGTCTCTTTACTTTTCGCCCAGCTTTCTGTGGATGCTTTTCCTTGTGTGACATATTAGCATCACAAATGAAAACGCTTTAGAAGCATTAGTGTTAATTGGTCTTCCTGGACAGTCTGAATGAGCTGTTGCATGATGAAATGAGACCACAAAATATTCAATTTGATATAATAAAAAAAAATAGCTTCACATTTCTTTCACAGGGCACAAGAACTTCTCCATATGTTATGGTTATTTTTATTTTAAAAATATTCTGGTTTAAGACATATTGTCTTGGCATAACATATAATAAATTATTATGGAAAATGTTCACATCTAGGCATCCATGTATCATTTTTGTAAATGTATCTTTTTGTTAATACTGGTAATGAAATATATGTTTGAACAAGGGGGTTGGACTAGATGATCTCTAGAGGTTCCTTCCAACCTCAACCCTTTTGTGATTCTGTGATACTGGTCTTCTACATTTTGTGAAAAGTACATGTAATTTAGCGAAGTGATAATTTTTATTCAGTAGCTAATTTCAGGTGCGACGACTCTAACTGAGCTATCGATCAAACATTTCAAAGCTAAGCAAATGTCTGCTATCAAAAACCATCTAATTACCACTTCAATTATTAATAGTTTGAGGGAAAAAACAATTAAAACCAAATACGGCAAACATGAAACAGTGGGAAATGTTCAAGGCAAAATAGAGATAAAATAAAGGTAAAAAAGATAAGTTTATCAGTTCATTCAAAGGAAACCAACCACAAGACTGAATATAAGGAAAAATCTCCTAAATTAAGGAAAGCACCTGCAGTATTCCTTGAACTGTAAGACAGACTCATGAAAGTCACCTATGAATGAAATCGGGTATCCTGGGCCATGACTTTGTTCATCTGCCTTTTTTTGGGAGCACAGTTCTTTTCCCAGTCTACCCACAATCTCAGTAAAACTAGGTGTGCTAAGCAGAAAACTTGGAACTACCTTTTTTTTTTTTTTAAAATAAATACTGCTCTATGATCACCTCTTACCTTGTTTTTCATATAGCAGCCTTATCTGCACTGGCAAACCAGCAAATGAATATTTTGTAAGGGAGCAAAATTTTGAAGAATTCCGTAAATCCAAGGGTTTACAGGTCATCACCACAGTTTGTATGACCAAACACTTGTATAAAAAAGCTCTCCTCTCCTCATCTCCATGCCGTATTTTGAAGCTAAATGGTGTCGTTTTGTAGATGCATGTGTTTCCATGCAACAGATTCAGCATGGGATTTATGATACCAACTGATCACTCGGATGTCATATGCTGAGCAAAGCACACCGTGAAGTCCTCCCACTAGATCTGCACTGTCTAGAATAGGAGTTCTTAAACCTTCTTATTTCACGGGCACCTTTTCAAAGCAGTGATTAAATCATGCAGTCCTGTCCTCCTTTCAATTTCTATTTATGGTTCCTGTGAGGATATCCATACCGTCCTATAACTTAGCATCTCACTTCACTTGCAGATCTTGGGCCCGACTGCCCACAAGACATTAGCTGCCAGCTTATATCCCAACTCTCCTTTGAAGGGATTCAGCTTTTTCCTGAAAACCAAAATGGAAGTGTGGGTCTAGAGATGAGTGTCTCCAGAGATCACCTCCAAACAGCAGCAGGGACAAGACGGCACCACGTCATCCTGCTCAGCAAGGCCTTCAAACAGGCACACGCGTTGCCTTGGCATGCCCCAGGGCACGCAACGCGCAGCGTCAGCTGCATGTCAAAAACAGCCCCTGTTGCTCATTTTATCTCAGGTGTTCAAACAGAAGAAAAATGATACTGAAAAATAATAATTACATTCTTGGTCCACCTGAGCGCTGCCCTAAGTCACAGAGAGACCCAGAGCCTCTTGCTCTGTACCCATCCCTGCAGCCCGTCAGCTCCCGAGGGTCCCCACCACACAACGTGGACATAAACCCCTCTGTCCCAGCAGGCCTGGGCAGCAGGCATCCCTCCCTGGAGCAGCAACATTTAGTGTTGTGGACGTAGCCTAAAACTGCAGCAATTACTGCCACCGGAAAGTAATGTAAGGAGAGCATGAACATAATTTTAGATGCCTTCAAGTTCAGAAGCTTGTAAGAAGTAGAGGCCAAAAGCACTGAATAGATAGCTCTCCACAGGATTGTTCATGTTGTTCAATGTGGGGAACTTTGATCTAGTCAGCTTTACACTAAATTGACACAAGTCCTGCCTTCCTGCAAAGCAGACTTGCTTTGTACACGTATTTTCCAGCCAGTGCTTAGCTTAATGAGAACTAACCTCAGTACACCAGATTTGGCATGCCACAAGTCCTTCCTCCTCCACTACTGGAAGGGCTTCCTTCTGATAGAGATCCCTCTTGGATGGGTGGTTGTGACCAGTCAAGGAATCCCCAAACTCCATTCCCCACTAAATGCAGGTTTTAGCAACCCCTGTAGGCAGCATTTCTTCAGATGCTCCTGAAGACGTCACGAGGCCACTCACTCATCACTGTTCAATATGGGCAGAGCACAAAAATGGGCAAGAGCACAAAAATGACAGCGCGCTTCATCTCCCCCGAACAGGCAGAGAGGAAGCAGCACCAAAATGCCACATCCTGCATGTCCCTGCTAGCTGTGACTAGCTGATGCAGAGACGGAGCCCTCGTGTAAAATAAAATAAAATTAACTCTGTGACTCACGCGCTCACGGCAAGGAACAAGAACCTTTTACAAATGACTTCACTTGTTTTCTGGGGTCTAAACCAAATCTGACGATGTGAATTTGTGCCTGCCCAGACCTATGATCAGTGTTAAAGTGAAACAAGTTATTTTCTTCAGTGTGAAAGTGGTACTCAATGTGGTGGTTATTTTCTAGGTCAAATCTCCGCTGTGCCAATCTGGTGTTCACAGTATTTGTACTTCACTAATATAAGGGTATTGTACATTATCGGTACAATATAATACACATCTTTATAAGCATACAGAGAAGAAATCTTAATTGTTTATTGGTGTTCTTCAAAACCTTCTTAGGCTCCTCGTTCAGATATTCCTGGCTATCCTGGAACAAATTACTGGAGCTGGCCACATTTCTTTCTTTAACCTTTTCTTTCTCAATAAATCAATTGCTTTTAATAGGAGCCTGACTGAGGAGGTGCTCCTTAAAGGAGCTTTTAGAATCGCTGCAAGGTTTAAAGGTCGGTACATACTCCTTAAGAAAAGGATTAGATAAATGCTGCATATTGTTGATTTCCGCAAGTTCTAGCAGTTCCTGCCCCCTTCTGCATCTCCTTTTACTCCCACTTCATGTCCCCCACCCTAGCACTTCCAACACAACTCCTTCCTGAGCCAAGAGGCAAACTGGATCACTGAAGCAATCAGATTCGGAAACCCCAGGTTTATTTTATTTCTGGGTGGGTAGTGGGGATTTTTTAAACCCCATAGGTTCCGTGTTCCTGTTCCCAGTCTGGCCACACAAACACCTGTGTCACTGCAAGGGGCTTTCAAAGGACACGAGCAAGCAGCAAGTCTTTTTCTTCCACCAGCACCAATAATCTGGGCCACCCAGCAAACAGCCTGCATGCATCTTCAGCAAAGCAATGAGGTTTCAACCCAAAGGTGGATTTTCCTCTCTAGGTTACTCAGTCAGAGAAATCTGCCCTCCTTTTGGAGGGAGCCCGGCTTGTGGCTTTGTCAGACCGAATCCCTGGAGCTGTCCCAACATCTAGCCTTCCTACTTGTTTCCTGCTGGTTGAGAGAGGTAGGATTCAAGCAAGCTCCTGCAACCCACAGCAAGCACCACTAGCAGTTCCTCTACTTACCTACGTACCTGTTTGCCTGTAAGGCTACCTGGGGTCTCTGAAAGCAGCACACTTCATTAACAGTTGACAGTTAACTACTGCAGATCCTGCTTAAGTCTCTCCATACCATTTTTCCAGAATGTGAGGACTCTATCACCTATGTTTCCATCACCTACTGTTAGCTGCAGCCAAGTCCATGTTCAGCATGGATCTCATTCAACTCAAGCAGCCTGCGAGGCTTCCCATTCCTTAGACCTGCTTTATCAAGCATTTTTCTCTCACTTTTGGGACAACAGCTCTGCCAAATGAAATGTCAATATAAGACTAATAAGATGGTTCAATTTTCAATCCTTTCTTATATGGCAAATGCTGTCTAATAAATGCTGGAGCTGGACTTGACTCTGCCTTTGTACTGATTTAACTGTTTTAAATTTAGCTAATATCAATAACATTAACTGGATGCAAAGCTTTGGCAGACATCTGCTTACCAAAATGCTGATAGTATATTTTATTTTCCTACGTGAATGAATTTTATGGACACTAAAGATCTCTTAGCAATATAATTGCACTCAGACAGTGGTGGTACTTTTTTTTTCTTTAAAATAATCCTAAGCCTACAGAGATAAAATGGAAGTGAGTGTTCACGAGTTTGACATCCGATAAATTATCATTT